CTTTTCAAAAGTCATTCTGGAAGAAAGAATAACAAAATGGCCTGACTACCTTCTCCAAATAAGGGACATGAAACCGACTAAAAAAAAAATACCTCTGCTTGCTGCAAATGTCAGTAATCTTCACACTCTTAACATACACACAATGATTAAATATTTTAAAACAGGACAACCATAACAAAAGAAAAAAATAGCCAAAGTTACCTTTTATTTACTTCCCTTTTTAACTAGACTTTCTAAAAACACAACACATATATGCTCTTCAATTTGAGAAAAATAGAAGTGGTACTAGTTAATGGATGAAGAGACATAGGATCAAATGGGCGTAAGAAAATTCAATTATATGCCACAAATATTTGATCAAGATTTTGAAATCATGATATCTCTAACATTAATACCCCTTTTTACATTATGCCAATTTATGGGCAGAAAAATGGAATGACTTACTGACAGATTTACTTGATTTGTGGCAGGGTAAAGGGGGAACGAGTTCCTGTCTTCTTGATACCTGAGGTTTAACGAAAATTAACAAATAATTCATGAAATTAATGAGGTTATATATGAAAGATGATAAGAAACATCATCAGAAAGAGCTTGGACTGAAGTTCTGAACTGAGTCATGTACAATCCCAAAAAAGGATGACCGTCATACATATATACTCTGTTTCTTCTCCTTCTTGATCATTGATGTACTAAGGTAGGAAGGTTATATCTTCAATCTCATTACTTTTTATTGTTTCCTTGAGGTTTCCATTTCCTTGTGGTTCAATCTTGGTAGATTTTATTTGTGCAGCAATTTATTCATATTTTCTAGAATTTCCAATTTTTAGCATATAGTTTTTTATAATAATCTCTAATGATTCTTTGTATTTGTGTGGTAACAGTTGTTGCTCATGTTGGTGGTGGTGGTTTGTTTTTAATAGAGATAGGGTCTTGCTATGTTGCCCAGGCTAGTCTTGAATGCCTGGGCTCAAGCAATCCTCCTACTTCAGCCTCCCAAAGTGCTGGGATTACAGGCATGAGCCACCATGCCTGGCCCTATATGATTTCAGCTGTTTTGTCTCCGTGTTTTTGTTTTTGTTTCTGATTTTTTTATTTGAGTTTTTGATATTTTTTCTCTGTCTAGCTAAAGGTTTGCTGATTTTGTTTACCTTTTTTATATTTTGTTTATCTTTTCATGAGACACCAAAGTGTTACAATGGTCTTTGTTCATCAGTTTCCACTAACTATGTCTGAGAAGACCATGTTCCAATATAAACCGCCTCTTTGGGTCTAGCTCTGCGATTTTGTGCTGCACTTTTAACAAAAGCCACACCTTTTGTTTTTATTTTCTTGATCTTCTTTCTATGTTGTACTTTTAGTCTCAATTTCATTTATTTCTGCTCTGATTTTTATTACTTCTTTTCTTCTACTAATTTGGGTTTTGGTATGTTCTTGCTCTTCTAAATCCTCAGAGGTCATCATTAGGTTATTTATTTGGTCTTTCTACCTTTTTTAAAAAAGGATTTATTACTATAAACTTCCTTCTATGTACTGCTTTTCTGCATACCACAGATTTGGTTTATTGTGCTTCCATTTTCATTTGTTTCAAGAAATTTTTAAAATTTTCTTCTTAATTTCATCATTGACTCTTTGGCTGTTAAGGAGCACATTATTTAATTTTCTTGTATTTGTGTAGTGGCTGAGGTTTCTCGAGTTATTGACTTCTAGTTTCATCCCATTGTGGTAAGAAAAGATACTTGATGTGATTTCTGCTCTTCTGAATTCATTGAGACTTTTATTTGGCCTAAAATGTGGTCTATTCTGCAGATTGTCCCATGTACTGATAAAAAGAATGAGTATTCTGCAGCAGTGCTTCTGTACATGTCAGCCGGATATATTTGCTCAAGTGTGTACTGTAACTCCAATATTTACTTGTTGATTTCCTGTTCAGATGATCTGTCCATTACTGACAGTTAAAGTCTCCTAATATTATTGCAATGCAGTCTACCTCTCCCTTTAGATCAATGAATGTTTGCATTATATACTTGAGAGCTCTGAAGTTGGGTTCACAGATTTTTTAAACTGTCATATCCTCTTGCTGCATTAACCCTTTTAGCGTTATACAGTATACCTTTATCTCTTTATATAGCATACCTTTATACTATAAAGGTATATATAGTATACCTTTATCTCTTTTTAAAGTAGTCTTTGATTTGTAGTCTATTTTATCTTGTATAACTACTCCTGCTTTTATGGTTTCTAGTTGCATGAAATATCTTTGTTCATCCCTTCACTTTCATTCTCTGTGTGCCTTTATAGATGAAGTGGATTTCTAGTAGCATGCATAGAGTCAGGGTTTTTTTCTTTACCAATTCAGCCTCTTTTATAAATTTTATTTATTTATTTATTTATTTTGTGAGACGGCCTTGCTTTGTTGCCCAGGCTAGAGTGCAGTGGCATGATCTTGGTTCACTTCAACCTCCACCTTTTGGATTCAAGCAATTCTCCTGCCTCGGCCTCCTGTGTATCCAGGATAGCAGACCTTTACCACCACACCTAGCTAAGTTTTGTATTTTTAGTAGAAGCAGGGTCTTGCTATGTTGGCCAGGCTTGTCTTGAGCTTCTGATCTCAAGTGATCTACTTGCCTTGGCCCCCTAAAGTTGATTACAGGCATAAGTCACCTCATCTGGCCTGCATTTTATGCCTTTTAATTGGAGAGTTGACTTCATTTAAGTTCAGTGTTATTATTGTTAAGTAAGGATTTACTATGGCTATTTCATTGCTTGTTTTATGTTTGTTTCCAAAATTTTTTTTCTTTTCTTATTGTCATTCTTTGTGGTTATATAATTTTTTCTGGTGATACTTATTAATTAGGTGCTTTTTATTTTAGTGACTCTATTATAAGTTTTGTGTTGTGATTACTATGAGGCTTATGAAAACATCTTATAGATAGAACAAGTTATTTTAAAGAGATAACAACTTATATCATAAAGAAGAGAATAGAAACAAGGTAACAAATGCTTTTACTCCACCCTCACACATTTTTTAATTCAGTTGTCTCAACTTGCATATTTTTATTACTTACCTCTTAACAGGTTTCTGCAGCTGTTATTGTCTTTGATAGATTTGTCTTCTGGTCTTCATACTACAGATGTCAGTAGATGTGCATCACAATGATAGTTTTTAGAGTATTCTGGGTTTGTCGATACATGTAATTTTATCACTATATTCTATATATATTCAGCTGTTTTCCTTTTGCATGTTTTTTTCTTTTAGGTTGAAAAACTTTCTTTAGCATTTCTTGTAAGATATGTCTGGTGGTAGTGAACACTCTCAGCTTTTGCTTGTCTGGAAAAGACTATCTCTTCTTCATATTTAAAGGATTGCTTTGTAGGATACAGTGTTCTTAGATGGCAGGTTTTTATTTTTTTCAGCACTTAAGAAAACATCATCTCTGTTCCTCCTGGCCTGTATGGTTTCCACTGAGAAGTCGGTCCTCAGATAAATTGGAGCTCCTTTAGATGCAATTTGCTTCCCTTCTCTTGCTCATTTTAGGATCCTCTCTTTGTCCTTGACATTTGAGAGTTGCATTATTTATTATATACCTAGGGGTAGTCTTGTTTGGGTTGAAATCTGTTTGGTGTTTTCTGACCTTTATCTACCTGAATATCTCTTTCTCAAGATTTGGAATGCTTTCTATTATTATTCCTTTGAATAGGCTTTCCATCCCTTGCTTTGGCTGGAATCTCTCTTGAACACCAATAATTCTTAGTTGTGGTCTTTTGCAGTAATTATTTTATAACATGTAGGCATTCTTCATTCCTCTTTATTCTTCTTTTTCCTTTTCTTGTGTATTTTCAAAAGCCCGTCTACATGCTCATTGATTATTTCTTCTGCTTGATCCATTCTCCTGTTGAGAGCCTCTAATGTAATTTTCAGTTAAGCAAATGTATTTTTCAGTTCCAATATTTCCTTTTGATATTCAAAAAGTATTTCAATCCCTTTGTGAAATTTCCCTGATAAATTTCTGATTTTTTGTGTGTTATTTTAGAGACCACTGAGTTTTCTTAAAACTACTATTCTGAATGCTTGGTACAAGTGCTCAAATATTGCTGTCTCATTAACACCTGTCTCTGGTTCCAGCTTTCTCCATTTGAGGATATCACAGTTCCCTGTTTGCTGTTGTTTCTTATGGGTATGCATCTATGTTTTTGTGTTGAAGGATTTTATATGGCTTGTTTTGGTTTATATTGAACATATTTGTTTAAGTGTTCCTTGTAATTTACCTGTTGATTTTTGGGACAGGGGCTATGTTTCTGCCTCCTTTTTATGACTACGTGGTACCTTAACCCCTGTTTGCCTTGATCCTAGTAAACAATCAGAGTGCCACCCATACCAAATGGGAGAGGTTCCAAAGTGGATATGCTAGTAGTGTTGGAAGACTGACTAGGATTCCAGCCCACAGGACTTGTGGAACAGATCTCCTATAGCATGCTGCTGCTCAGCAGCCCCTCTAAGTTGACAACTTCTTTGGCCAAGTAATAGAGCAGAGTTTCTGGTACTGGGGATGGTATTCCTTCCACATCACTTTGTCTCTGCTTGTCCTGAGAAGTATGTCTCTCTTCAGGCATGCCTGATGTTTCTCAAGGGTTAAGGCAGGGGCAAGTTTCCTGCCAGGGAAGTCCAGCTTGTGGGGAAGCTGGTTATCCATCTTAATCTCACATTTTCCAGTATAGGAATGATGTTGCCATGCACTTGGGTACTGGGAAGATTGCAAGGAGTGGCATCATGGATATGGAAGTCTAATTCTCTTATTATCTGTACAAAATTTTTTGTTTGTTTGTATTTTCACTTTTCTGTGGCTCCAGGATCTGTCTCTTTCTCATATTTGAGTTCTGGGATATTGCTGATGACAATCACAGCACTAATTTGTTGTTGTTGTTGTTTTCTGAAAGTTGGCTTTCATTAAAGCCAACTTACTTCTGTGCCATCATTTTGGAGCCAGAAATCTCTGAAATATCTTTATTTTTATTTTTTAGGTGTTATGAGCAGACATAAAAAGTGTTTCAAAATGAGTGCTATTTTAATAATAATATCTAATGCTATTACTGTACTAATAGGTAAGTTACATTCTTTATTTTATTTTTCAGGGTATTCTGTATGTGATCCTGTTCCTTTCTGTGTCAATTATGATCTTTTCTCAGTATCTCTTTTCCCATTATTCATAATAACATTTAATTGGTACCAATTAATGCATTTTATTAATTACATGATGAAGTGCCAACTAGAATAACCAGCTTAAAGAAGAACATAAATGACTTGGTGGAGCTGAAAAACACAGCACAAGAACTTTGCAAAGCATACACATAGCTGAATCGATCAAACAGAAGAAAGGATAGCAGAGATTGAAGATCAACTAAATGAAATAAAACACAAAGGCAAGATTAGAGAAAAGAGTGAAAAGAAATGAACAAAGCCTCTGAAAAATGTGGGATTATGTGAAAAGACCTAATCTACATTGGATTGGTGTACCTGAATGTGATGAGGAGAATGAATCCAAGCTGGAAAACACTCTTCAAGATATTATCCAGGAGAACTTCACCAAGCTAGCAAGTCAGGCAAAAATTCAAATCCAGGAAATACAGAGAACACCACAAAGATATTTCTCAAGAAGAGCAGCCCCAAGGCACATAATTGTCAGATTCACCAGGGTTGACATGAAGGAAAAAATGCTAACAGCAGCCAGAGAGAAAGGTTGGGTTACACAAGGGAAGCCCATCAGACTAACAGTGGATCTCTTGGCAGAAACCCTGCAAGCCAGAAGAGCGTGGGGGCCAATATTCAACATCCCTAAAGAAAAAAACTTTCAACCCAGAATTTTATATCCAGCCAAACTAAGCTCCATAAGCAAAGGAGAAATAAAATCCTTTAAGACAAGCAACTGCTGAGAGATTTTGTCACTACCAAACCTGCCTTCCTTCCTCTTGAAAGAAACATTAAACATGGAAAGGAACAATCAGTACCAGCCACTGCAGAAATGTACCAAATGGGAAAGACCATCAACACAATGAAGAAACTGCATCAACTAACAAGCAAAACAACCAGCTAGTAGCAAAATGGCAGGATCAAATTCACACATAACAATATTAACCTTAAATGCAAACAGGCTAAATGCCCCAATCAAAGACACAGACTGGCAAATTCTATAAAAAGTCAAGACCCATCAGCATACTGTATTCAGGAGACCCATCTCACAGGCAAAGACACACAGAGGCTCAAAATAAAAGGATGGAGGAAGATTTACCAAGGAAATGGAGAGCAAAAAAGAAAGCAGAGGTTGCAATCCTAGTCTCTGATAAAACAGACCTTAAACCAACAAAAATCAAATGAGACAAAGAAGGGCATTACATAATGATAAAAATATCAGTGCAACAAGAAGAGCTAACTATCCTAAATATCTAAGCACCCAATACAGGAGCATCCAGATACATAAAGTGAGTTCTTAATGGCCCACAAAGAGACATAGACTCTCATACAATAATAGTGGGAGACTTTAACACTCCACTGTCAATATTAGACAGATCAATGAGACAGAAAATTAGCAAGGATATCCAGGACTTGAACTCAGATCCAGATCACACAGACCTAACAGATATATACAGAACTCTCCACCCTAAATCCAAAGAACATACATTCTTCTCAGCACCACATTGCACTTAATCTAAAATTGGCTGCATACTTGGAAGTAAATCACTCCTGAGGAAATGCAAAAGAACAGAAATCATAACAACCAGTCTCTCAGACCACAGTGCAAGCAGTTAGAACTCAGGATTAAGAAACACATTCAAAACCACACAACAACATGGAAGCTGAACAACTCGATCCTGAATGACTACTGGATAAATAATGAAATGAACGCAGAAATAAAGACATTCTTCAAAACCAATGAGAAAAAAGACACAACATGCCAGAATCTCTGGGATGCATTTAAAGCTGTGTCTAGAGGGAAATTTACAGCACTAAATACCCACAGGAGAAGTGAGGAAAGATCTAAAATCAACACTCTATCATCAAAATTAAAAGAACTAAAGGAAAAAGATCAAACAAATACAAAAGCTAGCAGAAGACAAGAAATAACTAAGATCAGAGCAGACCTGAAGGAGATGGAGACACAAAAAACCCTTCAAAAATCAATAAATCAAGGAGCTGGTTTTTAAAAAAAGATCAACAAAATAGATAGAGCACTAGCCAGACTAATAAAAAATAAAAGACAGAAAAATCAAATAGATGCATGATAAAGGGGATATAACCACTGATTCTACAGAAATGCAAACTACCATCAGAGGTGACTACAAACAACTCTATGCACATAAACCAGTGAATCTAAAAGAAATGGATAAATTCCTGGACACTTACAGCCTCCCAAGACAAAATCAGGAAAAATTTGAATTCCTGAATAGACCAAAAACAAGGTCCAAAACTGAGCAGCAATTAAAAGCCTACCAACTAAAAAAAAGTACAGGTCCAGATGGGTTCACAGCCAACTTTTACCAGACATACAATGAGGAGCTGCTGAAACATTTTTTCTGAAACTATTCCAAACAATACAAAAGGAGGGAATCCTCCGTAACTCATTTTATGAGACCAACATCATTCTGATACCTCTTAGATGCAAAAATCTTCAATAAAATCGCAAACTGATTGCAACAGCACATCAAAAAGCTTATCCATCACCATCAAGCAGGTTTCACCCTGGGATACAAGGCTGGTTCAACATACACAAATCTATAAATGTAATCCATCACATGCGGAACCAAAGACAAAAACCACATGATTATATCAACAGATACAGAGAAGGCCTTTGACAAAATTCAACAGCACTTTATGCTAAAAACTCTCAATAAACTAGGTATCGATGGAATGTATGTCAAAATAATAAAAGCTGTCTATGACAAACCCACAGCCAATATCATAGTGAATACGCAAAAACTGGGAGTATTCCCTTTGAAAACTGGCACTAGACAAGGGTGCCCTCTCTTATCGTTCCTATTCAACATAGTATTGGAAGTTCTAGCCAGAGCAATCAGGCAAGAAAAAGAAATAAAGTGTTTTCAATTAGGAAAAGAGGAAGGCAAATTGTCTCTATTTGCAGACGACATGATTGTATATTTAGAAGACCTCATCATCTCAGCTCAAAATCTCCTTAAACTGATAAACAACTTCAGCAGTCTCAGGATACAAAATCAATGTGCAGAAATCACAAACATTCCTATACACCATTGACAGACAGAGAGCCAAATCTTGAGTGAACTCCCATTCACCACAATTGCTACAAAGAGAATAAAATACCTAGGAATACAACTAGCAAAGGATGTGAAGGACCTCTTCTTTCATGCTCATGGAATGTTTTTTCGTCTGTTTGTGTACTCTCTTATTTCCTTGAGCAGTGGTTTGTAGTTCTCAATATCATGAAAATGGCCATACTGCCCAAAATAATTTATAGATTCAATGCTATCCCCATCAAACTACCATTGACCTTCTTCACAGAACTGAAAAAAAAATCTTAAACTTCATATGCAGCCATAAAAGTGCCCACATTGCCAAGACAATCCTAAGCAAAAAGAACAAATCTGGAGGCATCACATTACCTGACTTCAAACAATACTAGAAGGCTACAGTAATCAAACAGCATGGTACTAGTATCAAAACAGAGATATAGACCAATGGCACAGAACAGAGGCCTCAGAGACAATGCCACACACCTACAACCATCTGATCTTTGACAAACCAGTCAAAAACAAGCAGTGGGGAAAGGATTCCCTGTTTAATAAATGGTGTTGGGAAAACTAGCTAACCATTCCTTACACCTTACACAAAAATTAACTCCAGATGGATTAAAGACTTAAACATAAAGCCTAACACCATAGAAACTCTAAAAGAAAATGTAAGCAGTACCATTCAGGTCTTAGGCATAAGCAAGGACTTCAGAACTCAAACACCAAAAGCAATGACAACAAAAGCCAAAATAGACAAATGGGATCTGATTAAACTTAAGAGCTTCTGCACAGTGAAAGAAACAATTATTAAAGTAAACTGCCAACCAACAGAATGGGGAAAAAAATTTTGCAAGCTACACATCTGACAAAGAGCTAATATCCAGAATCTACAAAGAACTAATACAAATTTACAAGAAACAATCAAACAACCCCATCAAAATGTGGGCAAAGGATATGAACAGGCACTTTTAAAAAGACATTTATGTGGCCAACAAACATGAAAAAATGCTCATCATCACTGATCATTAGAGAAATGCAAATCAAAGCCACATTGAGATATCATCTCATGCCAGTTAGAATGTTGATCATTAAAACATCTGGAGACAAGAGATGCTGGAGAGGATGTGGAGAAATAGGAACACTTTTACACTGTTGGTGGGAGTGTAAATTAGTTAAACCATTGTGGAAGACAGTATGGCGATTCCTCAAGGATCTAGAAATAGAAATACCATTTGACCCAGCAATCCCATTACCGGATATATATCCAAAGGACTATATATTGTTCTATTATGAAGACACATGCACAGGTATGTTCATTGTGGCACTGTTTATAATAGCAAAGACTTGGAACCAACCCAAATGCCCATCAAGGATAGACTGGATAAAGAAAATCTGGCACATATACACCATGGAGTACTATGCAGCCATTAAAAATCATGAGTTCATGTCCTTTGCATGGACTCTGATGAATCTGGAATCCATCATTCTCAGCAAACTGACACAAGAACAGAAAACCAAACACTACATGTTCTCACTCATAAGTGGGTGTTGAACAATCAGAACCCATGGACACAGGGAGGGAAGCATCACACACTGGGGTCTGTTGGGAGGTTGGAGGCTAGGGGAGCAATAGCAGAGAGTGGGGCGGTTAGGGAGGGATAACATTAAGAGAAACATCTAATGTAGGTGACAGGGAGATGGAGGCAGCAAACTACCATGGCATGTGTATACCTATGTAGCAATCCTGCAGGATCTGCACCTGTACCCCGGAACTTAAAGTATAATTTTAAAAATAAATAAATAAATAATCTAAACTAAAAAAAATTATTTTTAGCTGGTTGTTGTACAAAAGCAGAAGAGAAGCTGTTGGTCCAAGGCTGTTTTAGCAGGTGTTTACTATAGTGCATCCACTGTTATGTACATACCATCATATATGTCTTTTATATACCACCATATATATCTTTTCACTTCTGATCAACATTTGGATTGTGCCACATTTTCACTATTGCAATTTGGGTGATTTTGAACAACTTCATATTTTATATTTTTTGTCTTTTAATGAATGGATATAACATGATATTTACTTATAAGAGGAATTATTAAGCACAGAATATTCATAGATTAACCCAAATACAATTTACCATAAATAGTAGATAATCTCAGCAGAAGTGTATGACAATGCCAATAGTTTCATGCCATTTATTACTTTATTGTTGGTTTTATCAATTTTTGCCATTCTGATAAGTGCATGTTACCCAATTTTGGCTTTGACGGTTTTCTGATGCTCAGTGCTGTTCAGTACCTCATAATTACTGTTGATTTAGATGTAATATTTTTACGGGAATGTTTAAATACTTTGCCCATATTTTAGTGTGTTAGCTGTCTTTTTCTGCTTGGTTCATAAGAGTATAAGAATTCTTTAATATTCTAGATGAGACTGTAGTTTAGAGGTATTGCCAATATCTTTTTTAACTATGAAGCTTAAGTTTGCTCTCTTTATCATGCCTTTTAATCAACAGAGCTTCTGAATTTTAAAGTTGTGTAATTGTGTCCTTGTCTATTGTCACTATAACTATATTTTCATTCTAAGAAATTCACTTCACTTCAAAGACATAAAAATATTTTTGTACGGTTTCTACTTTCCTTTCACTTTCCAAAACATAGTCGTCTTAAAGGTAAATTTTATAAATATTAAGAGAGAGAGATTAGCATGCATTTTTCCCATTTAGGTAATCTTTCAACCTGAAACAACTTACTAACAAGACAATACTTTCCCAACTTCACCACAGTTGGTCTTTGTCATCAACCAACTGTGTAGCTGAAGATCATTTTTGCTAAAATTTTATTATATTAAGCTACTCGATTTTATCTATCTTTGTATCTGTATCATTTTGTCTTAATGCAGCAGTCTTGATGTCTGGTTGTTTAAATCTTTTAAAAGTTTTATTTTTTTCTTCAAGTTTGCCTGGAGCATTTTAGATCCTTTATGCTGCCATATAAATCATCTGTAATTTTGATTGAGATTTCAATATACCATAGTCAATTTTCATGGAATCATTATCTTAATATTGAATGATACATATAAAATATTCATTTGGTGTTCCATAATTTCTGCCAGCAATTTTTTATAGCTTTCAGAATAGATTTCACACACATCGTTTTCAGAATTTATTTTAAAAAGACTCAGTGCTCTATAATGCAATTGTAAGTAGCGTAGAAGTATTTTTATTAACTCTATTTTCCTATTCAGTCTGTTGCGGGCATATAAAAACTGTCTATATGTATTTAATATATATCTATGTGAGCCTCATATAGCAAATTTGCTATAGTTAACTATTCATTTTCGTAAATTTTCTTCAGTTTCTTTTGCAGGTTCTATGTAAAAATTTAGATTATCTCCCAATAATAATTGTTTTCCTTATTCTGTTGGAATCCTTAGGCCTTTTTTTTCGTTGTATTCCCTTATTTTACCAGCTATAGCTTCCAGTACAAGGTTGAGCATCAGTAGTGACAGCTTACATGTTTGTCTCACTCTGAATATCAATGAAAACATTTTTAATATTTCCCAGATTAAAGGTCATCTCTTTACTTCTCTAATTTAAAAAAGCAAATGCTTTACCTTGATCTATTGAGATATTTATCTCTTTTTTCTGCTAATAGGTTGAACTACACAGATTTTATATTAAGATAAGCTTCAATTTCTGTGATAGATTCAACTTGATCATAACCTATTAACCTTTTAACATTTTTCAATTAACTGAATAGTATTTTGTTTAAGATATATGCACATATGTTCATAAGAGATTGACTTATAATTTCTCTTTCTTTTAATACTATTGTCAGGTATTGATGTGATTATAATGGCTTCTTAAATTGGGTTGGAAAGTATTGCCTCCCATCTTATTTTCTGAAAGAGTGTGTATAACGTTGGTGTTATGCCTTTCCTAAATGATTAGAAATATTTCTACAGAAGCCATCTGGACTGGGAGATTTCTTTAGTGTAATTTTTTAAATTAAAGATTTAATTTTTTAATAAGATATAGTATTTTTTAGATATACTACTTTTATCTTGTCGGTTATGTTAAACTGTGTTCTAGAAATTTTTCTACATTTTCATTATTTGTGTTGCTAATTTGTGTTTTTACTCTCACTTTTAAATTGTTTTAAATCAGTTTTTCTAGTGATCAATCTTATTTTAGAGTATTCAACAAAGGTCATCTTATGACTAAAATTTTTTTCTGTTTGGCATTAACTTTTTATTCAATTGGTTTCTGTTCTTTTTGTTTTTTAAACTGTGTCTTTCTACTTTGGTTTTATCACTATTATTAACTTTGTAAGATAGAATAATTATCATTTCAAAAGTCTTAATCATTTCAGAAACATAAATTTAAGGCAATAAATTTTTCTTTAAGCTTTAAGAGAGTTGCTGTATCTCACAAGTTTAGTTGCATCCTGTAAGTCTGGATGCTACAGTGTTTTGAGACCATGGAAGACAGACAGGATTTTAATGTAAAAGATTATGGTCAATGCGAAATTTGTATATCTATCATATGATAGGTTGAAAAAATTTTATATCTTGTCATGTTAGGTCAAATGACAGTAGTTGAGGATTTATTAGGGCATTTATATTCCTTTCAACTTCAACTTCAGTGATGTGTAGGCCTTCCTGGAGCCACCAGAATTATTCTACTTGTGTAGGTCACCTTTACCATTTCTAGGTAAATGAAATAAAATAAATCCTAGCATTATCTAAGAGTAATACAAACACTAATTTTTATTACACAGTATATGAGAGATATATATGCACATGTGTGTATATAGATATATACACACTTATCTGTACACATACATATATACATATATATACACACATGTGTGTGTATGCATATAAAATTTTATCTTCTATAGACCTTTGGCCCCAGATGACTATAGGTGATAATTCAACTAATTATTTTGCCACTGTGCTCCACTGTCATCAGCATCCTATTTCTTCCTTTCTTTCTTTTTTTTTTTTTTTTTTGATGAAATAGACTTTAAACCAAATCAGCATCCTATTTCTAACTGGTAGTTGGATCAATGCCTTTGAAGTGAATACATAAAAACTAACACCGTATCTCATCCTCAAGGTCTGTTTCCTTAGAATTATGTTTGGTACCAAAAACTGATTCAGTCTGGGTGTGTTCCAAAAAACAAACACGTATTGTGAGAATAAGGCTTTAATATAGAAATTAGGGATAGCATGAATGTGGGAAGTTCCGGGACTGATGCATAACTGAAGACTGGGGCTGTGTAGCTGAAAGAGAAATGATGACCAATAATATTCGCATAATGCATTAACGCATTTGGAAGAAAGCCTAAGAAGCTAACAAAACTGCAATACAGGAACACATAGAAAGACCTGTGAAGTTCCTATGCTCATGGTCTACAGAAATTATACCTTCTTCTTTACTTCCAAATCTCATGCAAGTTCCATTCATTGGCTAGCAGAAGGCTATACAGTGATGGTGATACCTAGCTGACAACAAACAATCCAACTTACTTTGTATTTTGTTTTATTATTTTTGTGACTTCTTTGTAGATTAAATCATGTATCTAGATTCATGACTGATTAATACAAATTATTGTTGGGATTACTCTTAGATAATGCTAGAATTTCATTTTATTTTATTTACCCAGAAATGGAAAGGGTACCCTACTCAAGTAGAATAATTCTGGTGGCTTCTGGAAGGCCTATATATCACTGAAGTTGAAGTTGAAAGAAATATAAATGCCATGATATATCCTAAACTACTGTCATTTGACCTAACATGACAAGACATAAAATTTTTTCAAACTGTCATGTGATAGTTATACAAATTCTATAGTGACCATAATCTTTTACATTAAAATCCTGTGTCCAGTGATCTCAAAATACATATTATTCTATATGGTCCTAAGATATGCATTTGTCTCATTTTCAGTTAAACTAACTCCAGATTCTCAAAGATTTTGCCCATGTGATTGGATTGGTTTCCAAAACAAATGCTATTATTTCTCTAAAGAAGAAGGAGATTGAAATTCAAGTAAATACAACTGTTCCACTCAACATACTGACCTAACTAAAATTGACAGCAAAGAAGAAATGGTAAGTAATTTATGATACATTCTTTGTGAATTATCTTGAGTTGGAACATTAGAAATATTCAAATACCATTAAAATTTTGAAGTCTTTTTACTCATGCCTATCTATGCAGAATATTGAAGGTGTTCAGAATATGCCATGTGACATAAAGGTGAAAAACCTAGTGATACTTTGTTTGAAGAATGTAAGACTGATATCAAGTAGTAGACTGAGTAACTATCTTCGTATTTTAAAGAGTATACATAGAAGATAATGTTTGGAAACATTTTAAGAGCCAGTACTCTGCCAAGAAAGGAAAATTGTCTGAGGAAGGAGGGGCTTCTCCATTCTACTTCCTGAGAGAAACTTTGCCCCGACTTCCCCATTTTGTTTTGCTGCCTGTCTCTGAGGTCCCATGCAGCTTCCATTGGAACCCTTTCCACCAGTAATGCAATAAAGAGGAAAATCAAAAGTTTCCTCCTACACCGGAGTATAAATTTTCAGTGAGAATGACCATGTCTTCTCTGAAATTTTATCCTTATTGTTGCTGCACAAAATCAGGTACAAATGAAAAGTCTAATGAATCCTTGTTGAATAAATTTTGATTTACATGACAAAATCTTGATGAGTAAAGAGATTCTCCAAGAACTTTAAAACGGGATTATAAAACCACACCTCTGCATTTGTGAAATTTGTTTTTTCCCCTAGTGACTTATGTTGTAAACATACATTTTTACTTACCTTTGTTTGGGCTCTTTAAGAATGAAAAGAAAATATGAGAGGTAGTATAGCTTGATTAAAAATATTTTTTTGCAAATAATTTGCTATTGAGAAGTGTTTCAATGAAAAGCAGGATAGCACAAGAGTCCACATTGTTAAGACAGTTGTGTGTTGCCTTTGTGGTGAACAAAGTTTATTTATGCAATCTGCCTGAAGATCGGTTCAAATTTAAATGCATGTGAATCAGGAGGGACCAGTTTATACGTCAGTGCAAGGAAACAAAACTATTTTGCAAGAAACAAAAGGTAATAAAATGTTGAAACCTAGATGGATTAGGAGTAGATACTGTAAATCAAGAACTAAGCTGCAAGCTTAACATCATAGGGCTTCTTTAGCCAATAGTGTTGCTGCTGAATTTTGCAAGACTTTTGAAAATGAACATTCTGAGAAATTCTCTGTTTCTTAGAGTTTCTCTTGGTGGGAAAAAAGCCATACAAGCAACAAGATGGAAAAATAATGAATGTTAATAAAAGGAAAGATGAAGAAAGGTAAAGACAATCAATATTCAAATAAGTATATTCACTCTAGGAATATTGTCAGCGAAGACTGACTAAATAGTGAGGATCATGGAATGTAAAGACCAGGGGTACACAAAAATAATTTGTTTTAAACCTAAGAGAAATCTTCAAATGTATCAGGGAAGAATGCTTGTATTGTTTGGATGAAGAAAAAACATCGATCATAAAATATCCTAATACATTTTGAAGATCACGGGTTACTACTATGTAATATATACACTGGCAAAATCTAAGTGACAAACAGAGTGAAGTAAAGCTGTCCGTGGAGTGGAGAAGAAATTTGCATGAGAATTTTAATGGATTATTTAAAATAGTTTAAATGTACATTTTAATTATAAAATAATAGGAGATGAAGTTTGTCTTACAAAATACTTTTATATCTATTTCCACCTATTTAGAATTATTTCACTTCTAACAAACGGCTAAAATGGGGCAAGCTTTTACTGAGCAAATAATGTTAACATTTTTCACAGAGCAGGCTTAGGAAATCTCCCAGTTCTCCGTCACCAAGACCACTCAAGCTCTCTCCTGAAGCCTTTCCCGAAGTTCTTTCCTGAGTCTAGACTATGAATCACCCTCTTTTCCTTGGGCATCTGCATTTACATGGACTATTCTACTCCTCTCTTGGAGCACATCCTGTATCAAAGTTTCCCTTAAAGACTCATTCTTTTTTTCTGTAAATTCCAATTTCACATTGTCTTCATTACACTCACAACTTCTCCATATCTAGTAGAATATTTTCTAACATTATGTTTACATTATTTTCCTCACTATAAATAAAGGCCTTTGAACGTATGACAGTGTTTTTATTAATCTGTTTATTTGTAAATCCAAACTTGGCCCAACTAATTAATTTTTTTAATTGGTTTATTCAATGCTGTGAAGATGGTGTATTAAAACGCCAAAAGCTACAAGTTTCACTGTTGGTGTAGATGGGATTTGACCATAGTGTTGTGATTTGGCCTAACTCCTTTATACTTATCTTAAATTCAAAAGTAGAGTGATACAATGTGAAGCTTGTAATTTCCAAGCTATTTAGCAGCAGAGTAGCCTCAAGGACTTTCTCATATAATTCTATGATTAAAGAAAAAAGTCGAGGGTATTAGTAAGTTAAACAATGCATCAGCAGGAGAAATGTCAGGAAAAAAATTGTATTTATTTCTAAATGATGTATTTGGAAATGTAAATGTTTAGCAGAAAAATAAAATTTGATAATTAGATTATAAAGAAACTGGATATATGAGGGTGTGTGTGTGTGAGTGTTTACATATATAGTTTGGGGAGATAAACTGAAGTAAGACAGAGCACTAAAATGAAGCTACTACTGTTTACTGGGAAGTGGGCAAATAGCATAAGCAAATATTAGAAATGCTATGCAAAGGCTCAATTTCAAACCTTGGCTTTCTTGTAGCTTAGTTTGAAAATTGTGAAGGAATAGATATTCAAATTGAAACTTTATCAATTTAGAATCATATCTAAAGAAAACATATCTCACATATTTGTTTCACAAATCAGAAAACTGAAGGTCAGAGAAAAAAAGTAATTTTTAAAAATTCCATAGCTATTTTCTAGTGAGGCCAGGAGTTGAACAGTTGTTGCCTTGCACTTCACAACCTACAAAACAAGAGGTACACAATAGGTTGTAGTAAAAATTGACATGTATGATTTTGAAATTAATTTTGTTTCTAAAGGATTTTCTTAGGCGGTACAAACACAGTTCTGATCACTGGATTGGGCTGAAGATGGCAAAAAATCAAACAGGACAATAGGTAGATGGAGCTAAATTTAACAAATCATGAGATTCTTTCTTTCTGGAATCACTTAAATTTAGATAGTGCAGCCTTCTCTAGGACTTATGCTTTAGCTAAATTTCTCTAAAGCCCAATATTTTTGTACATGTTAGTAAGATGAAGGAGACATTGAGTATATATTGAGATTTATTTAAGGAGTCAACCATGAAGGTTGGAAATTAAGATAGAAGGGAACAAATCTCCTTGTTGGCTATTTCAAAAATAAAGACCTGAGATTCATGTACACAACCACCTCCACCCCAATTTAAACTTTTGTCTAATTATAAACTATCTTGTCCAATTATATGCCTCTTCTTTAAACTTTTTATTGCCTATTTTCTGATGTCTTTTACAGGTCAATTTCAATTTGATGTTCATTTTAATCTGGTTTCACTTGCAATTTCACTATTATGCAATTTGTCCTGGGCTTCATATCTTGGAGTTTTAATTTGGAAAATGTGTGTACACACCCTAAATGGTGACTCTCAGTCACTCAGCCACTTAGTTTATGTTAGAGTTTCTCAACAGAAACACTACTGATATTTTGTGCTGAATACTTCTCTGTCATAGAAAAGGGGTACTTTTCTTTGTGCATTGTAGGATGTAGGCAGCATCCCTGGATTCTACCCACTAAATGACAGAAACTATCCACCCTACTCAACCTCTTCCTCCACTTTTGACAATAAAAAAGCATCTCCAGATATTGTCAACTGTTTCTTGGAAGCAAAATCACCCCTAATTGAAAACCATTGGTTTATATGAACTGGTACCTCCACTGATTACATGTAACTAACCTAATGCCAGTTTAACATATACAAATTCTTGGAAAAGAAACTCTTTTGATCCAAACTAGTATAGGTATCTCAACACTAGCAAGAGAGAACTGTGCCAGAGCACACCTTTCAGCACTTAAGACAAGTAGAATTTTTGTTTAAAGCTGTCAGTGGGCAAGGAAGAAACCACATGACTACATAATGGCTAATCACTTTGTTGCAAGTTTGTTATGAAAGGGAGTGAAGAATGTGCCTACCTCAGTGATGATGGTACAGCAACAGCTAGATGCTACACAGAAAGAAAATGGATTTGCAGGAAAAAAATACACTAAGTTAATGTCTTAGATAATAGGGCAACAAAAAATAAGATTATTAAGGATGAAACAAACTAAGTTTTTTTTTAATTAAACAAAGTTGAAGTTTTGTATCTGTCTGGTTAATTTATTCTTATGAATCAGGCTACACATAAAACTCACTTCAAACACTGGCAAAAATGGTTACAGGTATTCTGCTGAGTTTTTTTTTTTTTTTTAACTTTAAGCCAGAAAATGATTTTGGAGATCAAGGATAGACATGGCACTTTGACAGGACTTTCATGTCCGAATTTGAAACAATTTGAGTACCAGAATAGGAGATTATAACCTATTGAACAAAATGTAAAACTGGGAGTCCACAAAGATATAACTGGAAAGATGAAGTACCTTTTGACAGAGCAAGAATTGCACTGAACAACGTCACACAGACAATGGCTATTTTATTCAAGACTGTTACCACAGGGAAAAGTCTGAACTAAAATTTTAGTTCAGTCTGAATTAAATCTGCCAAAACAAAATGGGGTGGGGCATTAAGAATGAAGGTGAAGAGGAGCTCATACACCATCCGCATTTGCTAATTGGCTTTACCCAAAAGAAAATTAAACTTTCTTTGATCTGTAAAAATTGATGAAACAAATGGGGTCATTCTTGTCATATGCAACTAAAACAGAGTGGACAGGCCAGGGGAAAAAGGCACTCAGGGCACATAGCATTGCTTCAAAAATGTAATTTTCTACAAACCTAGTTGCTAAAACTGCCTGTTGTAGCCTAAAACCAGTTTTACCTAACAGTTGCTAAAATAACTTGCTGTGACTGCAAGACTGGTTTTACCCACCACTGTCACACACCAATCAGAACTTGCCAGCTCCTCGAAACTTTACTACAGCCAGTAAACTTTCTTTCAAAACAATACATAACTTTCTTTTTTAAATAACACCTCCAATCTTTGTTTTTTTCTTTAGACAAACCAAAGACCCCCTGGTCCCTACAATTATGCCAAATTACAATTTGCACCTCTCTAATAAAACATTTTAAATGCAGAGATCTGTCCCTATATTTTATTTTGATTTTGACCTACTTGGTGTCCAGCTGTGTTCCAAAGCTGACTCAGCTTGGGAGAATCACTGGTCCACAGCGCTAGGGCATGACGTACTCACACAGGAGCTCATTGACTCTCATGACTGCACTGCTTCTGCAAGTTGCCTCATTTCTTCCTGGTGAGTCTCTTGGACTCAACTCCCAATTTTAGTTAACTTCTGTTTTATTTGGATTTTGGCTGGAGATGTCTTTCTCCTTCTGATTGGAAGATCTCCTCTTAGGGAGAACTATTTTCCTCCTGGCAGATCTCAGCTATGAGGTCTGGGTGACAGGATTTCTCTTTTCAGGTTAAAGCCTCCACAAAAGCATTTTTCTTTTTTCCTTCATTTGGAGAAGGCAGCTGATCTTCCTTCTTGGGTTTATTTGGCTTTTTCATAATCAGTGCTTGCATTTAATTGGCTTTTGTGTATTTGGCATTAAACAAAGTCATCTAGATAAATTTAGTTACAAATGGATTCTCAAAGTTTAAAGGCATGCCAACATATTTTCTGGGACTCCAGCTGGTAACATATTCAAATATTGCAGAGATCCTTCAACAGTCTATTCTTAAATCTAAACTAAAAGACCACAGCTATAAAATTATATACTCCAAATAAGCCTCATCTCTTAATTGAGTGCCTTGCTACAAAACAGTATCTCAAAGCTAACTGACACGCTTTCCTCTCCAGGCCTTTCCCCTTGTCTTATAATTCCTCCTCTTTATCTTTCTCTAAGCTAAACTTTTTTTCCAAGCTCCTCAAATATTCTGGTATACTGGTTATGTAAGCAGAAACACTTGTGGCCAGGCACAGTGGCTCACGCCTGTAATCCCAGCACTTTGGGAGGCCGAGGCGGCCAGATCACGATATCAGGATATTGAGACCATCTTGGCCAACATGGTGAAACCCCTCTCTACTAAAAATACAAAAATTAGTCAGGCATGGTGGTGCATGCCTGTAGTCCCAGCTACCCTGGAGGCTGAGGCAGGAGAAACACGTGAACCCAGGAGGCAGAGGTTGCAGTAAGCTGAGATTGCACCACTGCACTCCAGTCTGGTGACAGAGGGAGACTGTCTCAAACAAAATAAACCAAAACAAAACAAAAAACACTTAAACACTTGAAAGTCAGAAAATAAAAAATAAAATCATTTTTACTTTTATGCTGTTTCTTAAAAGCAAAAGGTGAAATTCCCATGTAAAAGACACCTTTCTTGTACCAAAAGGAATGGCAACATTATTATGGCCGAAGACAAGTAGTTGAGACCAAGAAAATAGTGTATGAACCTTGTTACAATCTTCTGGGGGGCCTCCTCACATAATTGAGTCACATTCTGAAAGTTAACTATTCCTTGTCTGATCCAGAATGTTGGTAACTGACTCAACTGTCTGTCTCCAAAATTTGGTTCACAGCCTTTGTAAAATTGCTTCTTGACAAAGCCAAACTAAAAGAAAAGAAAACTTAAGGTTTAGCCTTATCCCATTTTGTCAAAGAAAAAAAGATTTAGATTCAAATGTTTTTAATCAACTGATGAGTTAATATGTTTTACTATTTTATGACTAAACTCTAAGCTATAAGGTCTCTTTCTAGGGATATATGTTTAGAAGTGTTTCTACATATGTACATATATTACATTATATATTAAGTCTAAATGATAAAATGCACTGTCGTTGGCCAGAAATTTCTTTAAAAATTTTATTAGGATAAATGGGCATGCATATAAAATACATTTTAATTATACAAATCTTTTATTTAGTTCACATGACTTAAATAAACTTCAAATAAATAGATTGTTTTTAAGTTGTTAATAAAACAAAATTAGAAATGTTTTCAAAATTGTGAACATACATTTTTGCCTGAGTTAACTGGTCAGTTTTATATTTGCCCCTACTAGATATGTTAGTCATAAACCTATAAACCCAGTTTCAAACAAAACAATGTTTGTGTAATTTTTTATAAGATTAATAATTGATATTGAATTAATTTGATAGTATTAATTTAATAATTTAATAGAGTTAGGGTTACATTTAGGCATTATTAAATTAAAATTTAATTATTAGTTAATATATTTAATTAAAAGTTAATTACAGTTTAATAAAAATATATTTTCTGAGTTAACAATGAGGTGTACATCCATTTAATTCTAATCTTCTTGCTTAAACATCTGATATTAACTAGCTACAAATTGGTTAATAAAAAAATAAAATGAGTAGCTCTAATAGCTACATTTTCATAAGTAATCCAGATATAATTGTCAATAAATAAGTTGGATAATTACTAATAAAATAATGTTTGTGAATGAAGTTTTTATATAACTTAAAATCTTAAAAGTTACCTTAAGTTAAATATTACGTACTCATTAAATGCTTGGGTAATACTCGAATTAGTTAAAAAATTAAAATAAATTGTTAAATACATTTCTTCTAGCATCTTAAATTTTATAAAGTTATTGGACTTTTATAAAAATATTTATTTGTCTTTTATAAAAAGATTAGTCTTTTTTAAAAAAAGATTTATTAGTTTTTTATAAAAAGACTAATAATATCTAGGTTTTTAATCAAAATACAAATTTTAAAAGATTATTCTGTATGAAAAAATCTTACATAATTTTCTGTCCTAAGATAAAATGATTAGTTGCCCCAAAAGAAATAAAAAATTATAAGACTAAGACTGGAGGTTTTAAAAACATTATAAAAGGTCTAAGCAAGTTAAAGAATAGTTATAAAAGATGGGTGTTATACAACAATACTTGCCGACATGAAGAGGGGAGTAGGATTGAAAATGATGGGATAAAGGATGCTTTAACTTAATTGCTTAATCGTTTTTATCACTTTTAATAATGCAGATATGTGTTATGAATGTGTGTAAATGTGATTAAGGGTTAACAATGGAAAAAAAAAGATGAGTTTTATAAAAGAGGTTTTGTGTGTGATTGAGATTGAAAAAAAAACAACAACTATGTTTTTCTAAAAAGTAAACATTGGTATCAAGGGATTTAGGAACAGAGAAATCCCTCCCTTCCTCTGCCTTGGAAGTGCCTACCATGCGTCCAAGTGCGAGCTCCTCGCCAACCTGCACATCACAGCCCTGCTGAATGTCTCCCGGCGGACCTCCGAGGCCTGCACGACCCGCCTACACGACAAACGGATCCCTGCGGAAGACAGCCACACGGCTGACATTAGCTCCCACTTTCAAGAAGCAGTAGACTTCATTGACTGTCGGGGGAAAGGGAGGCAAGGTCCTGGTCCACTGAGAGGCTGGGACCTCCCGTTCACCCACCATCTGCATGGCTTACCTCATGAAGACCAAGCAGCTCCGCCTGCAGGAGGCCTTCGATTACATCCAGCAGAGGACGGGTATGGTCTCACCCAACTTTGGCTTCATGGGCCAGCTCCTGAAGTACGAATCTGAGATCCTGCCCTCCACGCCCAAGCCCCAGCCTCCCTGCTGCCAAGGGGAGGCAGCAGGCTCTTCATTGAGAGGCCCTTTGCAGACACTGAGCCCTGACACGCAGGGTGCCTACTGCACATTCCTGCCTCGGTGCAGGCGCCGGTGCCCACCCACTCGACAGTCTCGGAGCTCCGCAGAAGCCCTGTGGCCACGGCCACATTCTGCTAAAACTGGGGTGGAGGAACCAGCCCAGCCCCAAGAGCAACTGTGATTTTTGGTTTTACGACTCATGGACATTTCATACCTGTGCAGTACTGAAGACCTCACTCTGTCATGCTGCCCCGGCGAGACAGCGAGTGGTCACCAGGCTTGCAAATGAACTTCAGACGGACCTCGGGGTAGGCTCTCGGGACTGAAGGAAGGCCAAGCCACTGGGGCAGCACACACGTGCTGACTACTGTGCTTCCAGGTTCCCTTCCCTCTCGGGACTGCCCAGTCCTTGCACCTCAAAGTTCGCCTTTTCATTTCAAGCATAAGGCAGTAAACCTGCAGCAACATGGGAGCAAGAAGTTGCTGGACCAGGAGAAAAGGCAGATACGAAGCCAATTCATTTTGAAGGAAGCACAATTCCCACCTTATTTTTTGAACT